GAGCTGCTCTCTCCATGTCGCCAGAGTCCAGTGCGGAATCTAAGAAGTCTCTGAGGTTGTTAACAAGGTGCACTTTTCAAGGTAGAAGAGTGGGACATATTTAATAGTTTGCCAGCTACAGCTTGATTTTACAACTTTCATCATTTGGAATTTAAATAAGATGGTGTGTAGGCCTCCACTTGACTCTCAGAGGTTTGGGTAGGCCTGGGGAGGGGACTTGCAGCCACAGAGCTCAGTTTTGGTGTTTACTAGAAAACTGAGGCAGCCCTCCCACCCAGACGGGCTGGGAAGACAACGAGTCAAGCTCACCAAGCCCTTGATTTCTGAGTCATGAAGCTTGGCCAAGGCAGCTGCAGGAGCAGGTGCTGGGCTCGAGACCCCAGACCTGTGCTGGACCGAGGAATGTTCTCCCTCAGTCTTGCCCTGCAGCCCTGGGATGGTTACTGATCTACCAGCAGTTTCTCCAACTGTAAAATGGGGATGATAATTGTACATCCTTCATCAGCTTGGTGCAAAGATGAAATGAGATTATGATTAAAATTCTGGGAGCAGAGTAGGAGCTCAATAAAGATTGATGGACCTAATTAGTATTATTAAAAGGAGGGCTGAGCTGGCCATTTGCAGAAGGAATGGGCCTCACCTCCCAGGTTCGCAAAGCCCCCCAGTCACCTCTGGTTCTGTAGTCCCTCCCACCCTCACCAATCGATGATTCAAGCCCTCAGCAATGTATGGCCTCATCATCTTTGCCTTATTTACAGAGAGCTGCACTCTGGACCCGCCCACCCACCACTTACTCAGGGGACTGTGATGGATGGTGTCACAGGGCAGCGCCAGCCACCTCGCTAAGGAGCAGAGACAGAGCTGTCCTACTTCACGTGTCTTGCTTGCCAGGATGAAAGAAGAAACCATCAAGACAGGCCCCTCCCTCCACTGAGGGGGACACTGAAGGTGGGGAGGGGTGCAGCCAGCGAGATGCATCAAGTCAGCGGCAGAGTGGGAACTGGAACCCCGGTCTCCCAGTGCCCCTTCCGCCCAGTGCTCTCTCAGCTGTTCATTTTTTCTCCTCCTGGGGCCTCTGCCCCAGAAGCCCTCTCGTCTGCACTTCCTCTGAGTCCGATCTTTTGGGTGCTTGGGGCTAGCCCCTGATCTGGGCAATCCACTGTCCCACCCACCCCCTCAGTTCTTGCCTCCGCACCCCTGAGACTTCTCATCCCTCACTGGAGGGAGGCATTCTCCCCATTTTACAGATAAAGAAACTGAGACCTAGAGAGGGAAGGGACTGGCCTGAGGGCCCCACAGTGCCTCTTGGTGGGAGAGAGATGTGGAGATACATGCGCGTAATCTCCACTCAACAGATTCCTCCTGCAGGAACGAGTTCGCCCACCTCCACTTCTCTTCTACCAGCAAATCAAAGCTCCATCATGGTTTTCACACTGACAACCATTGACGATAGTGACATCTGTGAACCGCCACCTGGCATTCTGTATAAAGTGTGCTCTGCCTGGGGTTGGGGCGAGGGTTAGGTATGTTCCCCTCTGTGCTCCCACAAGCCCCTGAGCAGACTGCACCCCAGTCCTGGCCACACCCTCCCCCACTGATTCCTGATGTGTCTCTCCTCCTGAACTGGGGCTTCCTGAGGACAGGGACCTTTGTAGGGAGTTATCTATGTTACTGTCACTTAGCTTGGGGACGAGTTTCTGGAGAAAGGTTAGAGGGGAAGGCCTGGGTGGATTGTGCTGCTTCCTCCTTTCCCCTCAGTCTCAAAGGGCCCCATGAACACAGTGACTACTGACAAGCCTCCTGCCAAGTGGACAGCCCGTTACAGTTTCCAATGCACTGTCACCCACTCCCTTCTTAATCCTCCCAAAAACCTCACTAGTTGGGTAGGGGGAGAGTATTCCTTCCATTTAACGGATGAAGACACAGGCCCAGAGAGGTGGGGTGATTTACCCAATGTCACACAGCTCTCGAGTGGTGGAGAAGGGACCCAAGCCTGCTCCAGCTGCACACATGAGTAGAGGGGTCTGCAGGGGGAGATAACACAGCTGGGCACATGGTAGATGCTCAAAAAGCTGGTCGAATGAATGAGTGAATGAATGAGTGCGTGTGCCAGACTGCAAAGTCAACAGGGAAGGGGTGAGGCAGGAGAGGCAGCTCGGGGTCCGTGGGGGGTGGGGAGCACTTGACATTTTGTTCCCTGTGCTCATGTGCCCCCTCTTGGCTCCTCAAGCACCACCCATACTTGGGGTGGAGCTCTTCCCCCTTCTCAGCCCCTGGGGGTGGCGCCCCCGTTCTCCCCGGCTTCCCTCGGCCTCTGCAGGCTCCTCCTCAGTTGGGCTGGGAGGCTTTCTCCATGGCAGTGTGCCTCCCTCCTCCGCATCCACCCCCTGATGTCTGGGGGTCAAGGACAAGAGCATAAGTGGAGGCTCTCAGCACGTGCCCGACCTCCCCACACAGCCCTCCCCTGGGCCTTGGGGTGCACCCCTGGAAAGTATTTGACGCTCAGGAGGATGGACTTCAGGAAGAGGCCTGCATGGCCCTCAGAAGCAGGCTCAGGTCCATTTGGGCAGGGAATCTGGGGTGTTAGATACCCAGAGAGTGATCTAGAATTGCGGGGCTTGGGCTCTGGGGTGCGTTTACCTGGCCCCACGGATCCCTTGTTCTGTGGGGAGAGACGAGGCTGGAGGAGGCCCAGAAAGGCCCTCTAAATCATCTTAGGATGGTACCCCCTCCCATCCTGTCTAATACTCTGTTCCATGGGCCCTGGGGCCCTTTCCTTGGGCCAGGCCACTTGCCCATCTGGTCAAGTTGATCAGGAAGACAAGCCCACTCCAGCAGCCAGTGGCTTTCCCTGGCTGGGCAGCACTGGGCTCCCCACCAGCTCTGGGGCCCGGGTTGGGTGGGGGACGGTGTGAGGGTGGTGAGCCCCCAAGTTCGAGACTATGTGGAGGGGGGGAGCGGGGCTGGCCTGCAGGGGGCCTTGCTCAGCCACTCACACACACCAAGAGACAATAAATTGACAAACACTTAATCTCTCTGCAAATTGAAACGGAGCCATAAATATCTGCTACATCCCAGCAGCTGAGTTATGAGTCTCGTTTATTAATCTCTTTAGTCCCAGGTGATGGATGGAGGAGGAGAACAGCCCACCAGAGACTCAGAAGGATGGGGGAAGGAGGGAGGAGAAGGGGGTCAGGGGTCTGGGAACAGCCCTTCTGGAGAAGGGGTCAGAGTGGAGAGGCCTGGGGGATTTCTGCTTCCTCCTCTTTTATTCTCAGTCTCAAAGGGCCCCACGAACACAGTGATCGTTAATAAGCCTCCTGCAAAGTGGACAGCCCTTTAGAGTTTCCAATGCACTGTCATCCACCCTCTTGTTAATCCTCTCCACAGCCTCAAGAAGTTGGCAGGGGGAGAGTATTCCCTCCACTTAACAATGAGGAGACAGGCCCAGAGAGGTGGAGTGATTTACCCAAGGTCACACAGCTCTTGAGTGGTGGAGATGGGACTCAAACCCGCTACAGCTACACGGATGAGAGGAGGCTGGAGGAGGGGTCTGCAGGGGGAGATAACAGGGACCCACGTAGCACAGAATCCTTATTTCTTCCTTTCCACCTTTCTCCTCTCCCTCCCTTTCTTCCTCAAATGCTGGGTAAGCACTATCTCTCTCTCTCCCTCTCTGTGCAGGAACTGGAGGAGGAAGAGAAGGCCAGAGTCGGGAGAGGACGAGGAGCTGGTGATGCTTCTCAGCCGAGCCGGGGAGCTGTAACTGTTGCGCCCTCACAAGATTTATTTTTAGAAAACCCCTGAGTGCCAGCTTGCAGGGCTCACAACTTGGGGGCCGCAGGAGTGCCCGGGAGGAGCTGAGGAGGACTAGAGCCCTGAGAAGACCTCCTGCCTGCGGAGCGGGGCCTGGGAGGGCGGGGGTGGGTTGTGATATGGTGCTTGTGTGTGATGAACACGTGCCCTTAGGTGGCCTTGTGGCGGGGTGGACAGAACAGAGGTGCTTGTAGAGGTGACCGGGAAGAAGACTGACTTGACAAATTGGGGCCACGAGCACTGGGCAGTGGAGCACTACAGAGACTGAGGTGGTGGAGCAGGAGGGATGGGGTGGCTTGCGTGGGGTGGCTTGCAGGAGGCACAGAGTCAGGGGTATCAGAGTGGATGCCATTCAGATGGCACCAGATGGCACCAGATGGCCGTGCTTTCTCTGTCTCTGTCTCGCTCTCTGTTTCTCTTGTGTTTTCTCTGCCTCTTGTGGCTCCAAAGGATCAGGGCCCCTAGGTGTGGCTCGTATTCTCAGAAGCCAGGTGATCTGCCTCCCAGGTGGGATCAGTGTCACTCCAGCTCGCAGGGGCCGACCCCAGGCTCCCTAGGCTTTGTGATGACATCATCCCAGGCTGACGTTCCTGCTTCTAGTTGCCGCTGATGTGGGCAGTGTCCATACTTGGGTGACTACCACCATTGCTGCAGGAGGCTCCCGCTGAGGACCTGTGGCAGGTGGTGCGCAGGGAGCAGAAGCCGGGCCTAAGCCTGAGCCTCACCAGGCAGCAGACCCCATCCTGGGCTGGGGCCTGAGGGCCTGAGGGCCTGAGGGCCTGGGGGCAGGACCAAGTCTCCAGTCACAGCTCAGAAGCCCCAGGGGACTTGGGAACATCTGCTCCAACCTCCTCCACCGCCCACACAGGGAGAACTTAGGGCCCAGGGAGGGGAAGGGAGTTCAAGGTCACTTCAAAGAGGTGGTAAGACCGCTGTGAGTACAGGGGACAGTCTGGAGCTGGCCTGGGCAGGCAGAGGGCATGTGCCCTGTGGCTGTGGGGTGCTGAGGGAGCTGGGGATGTGGTAACCTTGAATGCAGCAGGGCTGGGGCAGGGAAGGGCTCACGCCACATAGGGTTACCCCCATCCGGGTTTGCCTGGGACTGTCCCAGATTTAGCACTGTAAGTTGCATGTCCTGGGAACCCCTGGGTCCTGGGCGGACAGGGATGTAGCAGGTGTCTCTGCTACACCGTCAGCCCCCTTTCTGAGAGCTCCTCCCTGTCCCATTTGGCCCCGAGGCGCAGGTAGCACAGGGTAAGGGGCTCTCCTGTGTCACAGATGGAAAAATGAAGGCTCAGGGACAGGGAGCTCTCTGAGCCACCCTGGGGGGTCCCTCTGTGACCTGAGCCCCCATCTCCCCTGCTGTGTGACCCGGGAGGTGCTATAGCCTCTCTGGCCTTCCTTCCTCTCCTCACCCATGAAATGGAGCCCTCTTCCTTGGGGGGAAATGGTGTCCAAGGAGCTGAAACCAACCTGCCACCCGTAGGGGCAGGTGAGATGGGGTGGGGGCAGTGGGGGGAAGTGGGCCTAAGGAAACAGAGGGATCAGGGATCATGCTGGGGTGCTGGGTCCACAGACTCAAGAAAGGAAGAGAGACAGAAGCTCAGAGGGGGGGTGGGCATGTGGAGATGGGAAGGGAAGAGATGGAGGGAGGGGGGAAAGCCTTTCAAAGAGACAGTGGAAGAAATGAGTTATTCCAGTGTGGTGAGGTTGGGAAAACTGCACTGAATCTTTAAATAACCCTTGTCAATTATTCATCTGCTGGTATGAGGGCCCTCTGGTCTGCCACAAATCTCCTCTGAGCAGTGGCGGAAAGGAGGGAGGGAGGGAGGGAAACAGAGGGAGTCAGAGAGAGAGAGAGCCAGAAAATCAGGGAGAAATAGAGATAACCAAAGAAAGACAGAAGCAGGGAGAGACAGAAACAGAGGGGGCAGTGCTGGGGTGGGGGTTGGAGAAAGAGAGAGAGAGAGAGAGAGGAATGGAGGGAGGGAGCCAGAGAGAGGAGGGGAACGACCCTATGCTGTAATTTCTGCACTGGAAACAACACTGACCACTCACTTCTTGAATAGCAACTGAGTACCGCTGCCTCTGTTCATCCAAAGCATAGCCAGCCTCCTCCAGGAGCCTTCCTTGCTCCTCTCTCTCCTCACTCAGGGCTCACTAGGTGTGTCCAGCAATGCTGGGTAAGTGCAGCACTTAAGAAGATACACTGTTTCAGCCACATCTCTTTGCCATTCTTCTCTCCGCGAATATTTACTATGCGCCTACTCGGTGGTCTCCCAGAGTGTGGCTAGCTCCTGCCTGCTGGGGAACTTCCAGAGCTCAGGGCCTTGGCCTCTCCCTTCCCTCGCCCCTCCTGCCCCCTTGCCCTGCAAAACAGGACACAGGGCTGGGCACCTGGCAGGGGTGAGGAGTCCTGGTTTTCTGGCTGGCTAGGGGAACTGCTGACACAGCTGCTGGGGATGGGAATCGGGGCGGGTGTCTTATCAGCCCTCTGGGAATGAAAGCGGGCCCGTCTGGAGACCGCACGGAGCCCCTCATCTCTCTTGCTCTGACCCTGAGACATTGCCTGGCTCAGCTTGAGGTGGGCTCGGGGGTCTAGTGAGTGAGGGGGAACGCTTGCAAGTTGTTCACTGTTTGGAGAGTTGCCGTGGTCAGGATGACTCTTAACATCTCTCTTTTCACCCTCACTTAAAAGCCTACCTCTTCCAAAAAACACTTCCTGGGCTGCTCAGAAGGGAGGTGAAGGTTTCCTCTAGCTCTGCTGGGCCCTACACTTGACCCAAGATCACACTGCAGGGCCTTGACCCCAGTGGGTCTACCCAGGACCAGAGCTCCACACTACGTGGACAAAATGGCACTTAAAAGGCCTGTGTCAAAACCAGGTGTCCCGGATAAAGGGAGCCCGAGATGGAAGAAACGGCTGGATTGCAACCCGGAATGAAGGCCAATGCAAGGGCAAACTATGGGGGGGGGCACCCAGGAGGTGGGGCTGTGGGGGCGGGACTGGCAGGCCCAGGGCAGCAGGGAGCATCGTACATGTACAGAGGGTACAGACCCCGCAGCCCCTCCCCTCCTTTCTCCATTCCCAAGGTGCTCCTTTCTCCAGAACATGTTCAATCTCCTATTAAGCCAGAGGAGGCTCTGGAGGGAATCAGAGGTAAAATTGTTTCTTGGGCTCTGGGGAGTGTGCACAAGACTAGACACAGACAAAGGCACTCCAGGAGTCAGGGGTTGCTGAAAGGCTCACAGCCCGGATGCCATGGCCAAGAGATGAGGGAGGCGTTAATCATTTGCTCAGTGCACAACCACTGCCGTGTCACTGGGGCCCGCTGCTACACCCCCAGGCTCTGCTGCTGGTGCCCACTCCCTGACGACAGGTCCAAGAGTCACATATCTTATGATGGTGCCATTGCCACCCAGATGTGTTCCTGCGCTAGTCAGCTATCTTCCACTGCTCTGTGACTCTCTCTACGGCTCACACGCTGTGTGTATGCTCATTACTATGTTCTGTGGTTGCATGTTCCTGTAATACGGTGCTGTCTGATGTCTCTCTATGGCTTGGGTCTATTGCTATGCAACCACACTCCACTGCTCCCTGACCGTGTTCTATTGCTTGTCACTGTGTCTCTTTGTCGCGTGAGCTCGTCCATTGCTATGTAATTTTGTTTGGTTGCTATGGAACAGTGACCCATTGCTACATGGCTACCTGGGATTGTCATGGAGCTGTACACTGTTGCTACCCACCCACGTTCTATTGCTTATGACCAGGCTCTACTGGTCACTTGAATGTCTTTCTCTGGGTCCTGCCCTGGTCCTTCAGGGCTCTGGCCAGTGGGTAGGAGCTGGGGCTGGGGGTTGGGTTTCCAGGATCCAGCTAGGGCAAAGTGTCAGAGGAGGGAATAGCCAGCATGGTAAATGTGAGATGAGAGAAAGAGTGTGGGTGGGGGAGGGCAGGTGGCATGATGAGTTGGAGAACTGAAGGCAGGGGTGGGAGGGTAAATGGAATTGAGCCAAGAGTCAGGAACAAGGAGGGAACAGGCCAGGCCTGGGACAGGCTGCGATGGGCTAGGGAGAGGGGCAGGCCCACCGCCCTGTATAGTATCTCTCTGAGGGACCCAGTGATGTCAGGTTGGCTGAAGGGTCCAGGGATGGCAAGCAGGCCCCTGCAGCTATCTGCTGTTCACTTGGCTATACGCAAGGCAGCATGGAATAGCAGGGTTAGGAAGCCTTCGGCAAGGTCATCCCATCTCTGGGCCTCCTCACTGCCATCCTCTGTGAAGTTAGGAGATCGGACTAGCTATTCTCTAAGGGTCTTTCTGGTGCCTCTGCTCTCCAGCCAGGGCTTCCATAATGTGGCCCAATAAGCATTTACCTACATTTGTGTTGGGCCAAGACAGGCCTGGGCCCTGAGCTCAGAGATGAGGAAGCCAGCGTGCTCTTAGTTCAAGGGCTGGATGGTGGCGGCTGAGTAGATCTAACCCAACAGCAGAACAGGGAGAGCAGCCAGTGCTTGTGGCCTTGCCAGGTGCCCAGCAAAGGGGACAGAAGAGGGACCAGGGATCCCTCTCTCTGGGCCCAGGGCCCACTGATGGGAGTGCTAGGGGTGATGTCCAGAGAGAGCATGCTTGAGTTAGTTCTCCATACAGACCCAACTCACAACATCTCTGACAGTCTGTGGGTATGGGGCAGCCCTGAGTCCCCTTGTTCACACTCAGAGCCTCCCAGAATCCTGTCTTAGTGCCCTTGGGTCACTTGTTTCTCCTCCTCCCCTCTGGCACTCACAATGGCTACTCAACCTCTCGCTCAAAAACAGTTCTTCCTCATGGCTGACCTTGACTTCTCAAGCTGCAGTCTAGTCCCACCTCCTATGGTTTAACCCTTAAGAGAAGATCAAGACTAACTGCAGGTATTGGTTTATTCATGCTGCCCAGAGTCTCCAGAGACAAAGTCTGAATCTTTATTTTCACCCCAACTGATGGCTGAGCTGGTAGGTTAGGCCTGAGAGCTGCTTTTCCAAGGGGCAGAGGTGAGAGGAGTGAGTGTGCAAGGGGGCCCAGGAATGCTCTGGCACCTAGGGAGGGCCCTGCTCCAAGGAAGGCAGGGGCACTCCACGCGGGAGCATCCTGGGCACACCCAGCAGACAGCAACCCTTCCTATTCGTCCAATGGGACATGTTCCAGAAAGGTGCAGAAGTGCCAGGGGAAGATGCAGAGGCTGTCAGTGGAGAGGGGCAGGTCCTGAGAGGAGGAGGCCCAGGGTTTCCCTAGGGGCCAGTGGCCTCTGCTGGGGCTTTTTCTCAGGATCTTCCAGAGCAGCGATCCCCATGGGATCCGCTGTGGAAGAAGGGAGGAAGCCACACATGAATTCACCATGGTCACTGGGGTGGGACTTGGCCTGTGCTGTCTTTTGGTGGCCTGTTCTTTGGCTCTCTGCATCAAGGGGCTAGGACTCAGCACTGACCCCTCACCAAATTAAGGCCACCTCGGCCACCTTCACCCACCGTTTCCCAGCATCTCGTCAACTGGCAACAGGAAGCCACACCAGCTCTCATGATCAAGGACACAGACTCTGTGACCAAAGGTGGTGGCCTCTCTTCTTTGAGCCCCAATTTCCTCTTTTAGAAGTTTAACCTATTCTCTCGGGGGGCTTCCCATTATCCAGTGGACATGCCCCCGAGGAAGTGCTGAGTGGATGACTTGAGGAAACGGAACTCAGTCTTACAAGTGTTGCAGGGGTTTGTGTTGAAGGCAATCATATGGGAGTCTCACTCAAAAGGTGAAGAAACTCTGTAAGATGAAGAATCCACACCTTCCACCAGTTTAGCTTTGGGGTAATTCACACACAGGGTGTGCCTAAAGGGGAGGTCTACTTGCCACTGGAGGAGTGAACCAGGACCACAAGTGGCAGTCAAGCCCCTTCCCCATGGCCTCTGTCACCGCTCTGGCCCTCCCGGCCGTGTGGGGGAGACACTCACCGCCTCACGGGACATCCTAAGCACCGGGGGCCCTTCCTCTGCTTCCTGAGAGGAGGATGTGCTGGAGTCCATTGTGGAGCTCTCTGTGGCCTTGGACCAGGACTCGCGGATGGTACCCAGCTTCCCATCTAAGATCTTGGGGTCCAGGATGGGCAGAACCTTGCTGTTGTTTGGCGTTAAGAAGTTTTCCGGCCTCTGGAAGAGAGAGTGTGGAGAAATTTCTCTGTGCCTCTCTATCATAAGCATACGTTCTATACCCCCCAAGCTTCTCTTCTTCCTGGCTCAGGAGGCCCTGCAGGCCTGGCCGCTGTCTACCTCCTACCACCTGCCCGCCTTGCTCAGTGAGACCTAATCACACTGTCCTTGCCATTCCTCCAACAAGCCAAGCACTTTCCTGGCTCAGGGCCTTTGCATCTGCTGTTCTGTCTACCTAGAGAGCCTCATGGGTCTTCATATGGCTATCCCCTCTCGTCATTCAGGTCTCAGCTCAGATGTGATCTTCTCAGAGAGGCCCTGCCCTTTGAGATAGAGGCCCGCCCTATAGAAAGTAACCCCTTCTCCAATATACTCTCTAGTCACATTATCCCATTTTACTGTATTCAAAGTACTTATTCTACCAGAAAATCAACTTTTAGAAAATGTGTTTGTTTATTGTCTGCCTCCCTCCTCCAATCCCCACGCTAGAATGTAAGTTACATGTAAGCAGGGACCTTGCTGATTCCTAGTGTCTGCCTCACTGTAGGTGCTCAATAAGCATGTTGCAAGAATAAATATCACGCCATCAATGACTCCCACCCTTGGTGCAGTACCAACAGCTTCTGAAATCGCCACACTCCTTTGACATCCTTTGCTGTGTAGACTTGCTTTCCATTCCGTCTCCTCTGTCATCCTCTCATCTTATCACCCGTTAAACAGGCTCTTCTCTCTCTACTCGGATGGGCCTCTTTCTTCTTCCATGTTCTTCTCTCTATTCTCCACTTCCTTCTACAACTATCGCTCTCATCTCTGCTTGTCTAGAACTCAACCCCACTCAATACCAGCCCGTCCAGGAAGCCTTGATGGTCTCTGCCCACACTTGCTCGAAGCTTTTCTAAGTTCTTCCAGCCTAGCAGCTGGCTTTCTCTACACTCACACCATTCTCTAATTTCAGGCTTATTTGCCATTTTTGTTCCTCTGACAAAAACTTTAAGTCCTTGGGCTTAGGGACAGGTCTGTGCTCCCCCTAGGGAGAGGTTACTTTTAAAGCTGCTGGAAATTCATGGTTAGCCCTAACATGTCGACTGTTCAAAGAATCATGCAGTCTCAGGGTTCGTTGGGACCTCAAGGGCAACTCACTTCCACTCTATACTAGCTGTTGGAATTTGTCTTGGCCAAACAGCAGCCAAATATGCCACTGTCTAGAGTGTTGTGTTAGAAGCAAACAGAACAATGAGCACAGTTCCAACCAGGACAGATGTGCTCAGGGTTAGAGGTGCCTGGATGTCTGACCATGAACAAACAGAGGGAGAATGAGCGCAGGTGGGCCACTCCTTAAACGGATGCTCTATATGAAATCCCGCACATATGAACCAGATGAATCGGGACAAGGACGCTTCACTTTACTATTGGGATCCTTCAAATAATGATTTCTTTATGCCCCTTTAAAATAAAATTTGGTGTGCAGAAATTCATTAACATGAAGCCTTTTCAGGCTTGTGTCAGTAGAGTAAGGGACAGTCATACAAGCACAGAGGTATCCAGTCCAGTCTGGGCCTCATTTTTGCCCCCTGTCAAATGGGTACAAGGATAGATAATTCCAAAGAGAAAGCAGCCATATGAAGTTTCTTGGAATGGGAAGAGTGAAGCACTGGGTGACCCCGAGGCTGACTTTGGCACCTACTGCACTTCATAACCAAGACTTCTGGGCCTGTTTTCTCCCTGGGTATTAGGCCTGGCTGTCTCTCTCACCTGCTCCTCTCAGTAGCTGTGGTTCAGGGAGGGCAAGATTCATTCGGAGCCTCCCCACTGAACATGCCCAGTGTCTCTGTTTGGCATCTGAATCAGATGGTTTGGGGTTTTCTGGTTGTTTGCGTGTTTTAGACAGGAAAAAGCACCACATCTGTCTCCACTTTAGATCGGCTGAACACCAGATTGGCTGCAGAAGGAGAACTATAGATGCATATTGGATGGATGAGTAGGTGAATGGATACAGGAGAGAATGAAGGAAAAAACAACTAGCCGGGGCAGGGCAAAGACCAACTCCCCACTGACCAGGTGGCCCGAGGGGCTGGGGTGAGATGCTGATTCAGGACCTGTAATGACATTTCTCCTCATTTCCAGGCAGAAAGCCAATCTCAATGCCCTGGATTTCATAGACTGCTATCTAATCCAGTTAGGGGAGGAAGTAGAAGTAATGAAATCAAGGGAGAGGTCTCCAGAGGTGCCCCCATCAGTTCTGAAAGCAGGGACACATTGCTGAGGGAGTCCCCTCCCCCACAACCTGTCTCCCTGACATCCACCCTGTGTGGCCCCAGGACCAGCTGGGTCTACTCAGCGACCCAGAGGTGACATTCATTGGGCCCCTGATCAAAGCTGGGCACTCACTAGGTACTTTGATGTGGATTCTGAAATTTATTACATATAATTCATTTAATTTCATCACAAAGATAAAATAAAAATGAGACTGATCCCTCAGTCCAGACCAGTGCCTTCACCCTGCCAGTCTCTGGCGGGCAGAGAGGTGTTCTGAGAAGGAGGGAAGGAACGGCAGAGTATCTATGGACTTCAGTCTATTCTGCCCATCCCACCCCCTCCTGACCCCCAGCTGCTCTTCCTCTAGCCCTGACCAGACTCAGTGGCTCTGCTCTGCTCTGCCCAATCCCTAGCTGGCCCTGGCCTGTATGTGCTCCCACAGCTACCTCATGCCAGTACCTCCTAATCACACCCCCAGCCCTGCAGGTCTCCTGCCCACATTTCCAATCCCCTGCCCCAATCAACTTTGCCAGGATCCAGCCTGGCCTCGGGGTTGGAGGCAAGGTGGGTGGGTGACTTTTATAGAAAAATCTAGATGTCCACATAATACAGACCCCACAGGGAAGTCCAGAGGCAGCTGCTCTTTTCATGTGAGGTGAGGGGCACCAGGTGGACCACAGTGTCTCACACAGTGCCTAAATTCCCCCGATAGTTCCCTTTCTTTAGGGCTAACCCTGCCTCTCCAGACTCCTCAGCTTCAGTCTGCCAACGTTTGGGGAGCGGATCATGCCCCCCTCTCCTTTCTCCTCTTGGGAAGGCAGCTTGTCTGAGATTAGAGGGAGGGACCAGGCTGCTGGAGGTGGCAGGTCAGGCAGGAGGATGGGGAGGGGGACAATGCTAAAATGGGGATGAGGAGAGGGTGAAGCCTTGGAGATTAACTCCTCCCTATAAAGGCTCAGCCTTGCCTTGCTCTCCCCCTTTCCTCCAGGTGGGGGTGGGGGCTGCTGGCCCACCCCATAAACCTGCTTATTTGCTTTTCTATTTGGCAGGCCCTTCCCTGCCTGCTGAGGCAGCTTGGGGCTGACAAGTGGCCCCTCACTCTGTGGTTCCGTGGCTGAAGCACGTCCTGCTTCATTAGGGCTGTAATTGGAGACCTACTTTGAAAGCTCAAAGCGATGCATGGCCACGCACTGGCTCAGACTCAGAGCCCAGCCCACTGCTCTTGTGCTGCTGCAGCTGCCCCTCACCACATGAGTGCCATAGTGGGGAGAAGGCACCCCTTCCTCACGCCTCTCAGCCCTCACTGTTGCCTGCAGAGGAGGGTCTGTTGAGACAGACCAGGCCAATAGCATCACAGGCTTGAGGCTTCTTGGGTCACCTGTTTCCCCCTCTCCCCTAACATCTTCTGCCTCCTTCCTACTCTTTCCATCCCCTAGATCCCTGATCATGCAAAATGCAACAGTTCCAGCCTGCCCTGGCAATTACAGACTGGCAGGGTTGCAGCTGCTGTCCTTGGTGCTGAAAATGCCTGCCTTCCGGCCCGCCCGCCTCTGGCCCCGCCCTGAGCCTTCTCGCTAGAGCGCACATGCTCTTAATTCAATTAGCTGGCCCTGAACCCTCCCCAGGGAGCCTGGAGCGGAAACTGACAAATTCTATTTAACAAAGACATTTGTCCCCTGCCCCGCTGGCTTTGGGCTCTGCCCGCCTGTATCCCGCTCATTAGGTATCTAACAAAGTGCGTCCCAAGAAATCTGCTTCCAATCGCTAGTAATTCAGGAGGCCTGATGCAATTTTCTCCCTGATAAGGGTGTCTCGCCCGCTGGCAAGCACCATAATGAGCCCTGTGCAGCGGCTCCCCGATCAGTCACTGCTTTGTCATTTCCTGTGGCCGCAGTTGTAGGTTCTTATCTCTTCAGCTGAAAGCGAGGCTCAGACAACGGGCCCCTCCAAGAGGGCTTGCTGCCTCTCCTGCATATTGCAAGCCTCATTCATGGCATCCCACATGGCCTTGCAGCTGCGTTGGGGTTTGAAGCTCTGAGTCTGTCTGCCAGCCAAAAGGGCCCAATGGGTAAGGGGAGGGGAGCCAGTGATAAGGATTTTTAAAAATTCTGGCAAGGACTTTAGAATTAAATAGAGTCCTGCCTATGGCTCAGTGGATAGGCTGTGGGCTCACTCTTATTAGCCTGAAACCTGGTCTTTCTGCATTTAATCTTTCTCCTTGGGTTCCCTTTATTCACATCCAGAGGGACCTTTCTAACTTATAGGTCAGATCACATCCTACTGCTGCTCAAAGACCTTCCTTAGCTTCCCACCACTTTATGACAAAGTCTAAACCCTGTATCCTGGCATCCAGGCCCTCCACAATCTAGGCCCCATCTAACTCTCCAGTCTCACTGCCCACAAAAGCCTATGTTCCATGTGCTCCAGACACGGTCATGCCTCCATGGCTTTGCACTTACGGTCACGCTGCCTGAAGCACCCTTGCCTTGCCAATTTCAAGCCACTCTTTGAGGCAGAGCTCAAATCATGCTTCTCTGTGACTCTTTCCCTGACCTTTGTATGCTCAATGCACCGACCTCAATGAGAACCCTTAGCAAGATGGGTGGTGATGATCTCTTGAGTGCTTTACTGCTTAGCATAGGTTAGGGATGTAATAAATGGTTAATGAATTCATGCCTGAATTGGTTGGACAAGAGGTGCATCTGGTTTGGCTGAAGGGAGGTCTAGGCTATGGTAGTCTCACT